TTCCTTCACAATCTTTTCCAGAATCTTGCCTGGTATTGACGTGAGGCTGACCGGACGGTAGTTGTTTGGGTCTTCCTTTTTTCCCTTCTTGAAGATTGGGACCACATAGAAGGAACAGGCCTGAAGAAAACAACATGGAGTTCTCGCAAAGCATTATGTGGGACGGCCTTGGCAGTCGAAGCGAGGATGCAGCAAGGCATAACTGAATGACAATTGGACAATAAGGTGTGCGGCCGAGCATGTAAGGAGTACAGGATGCATGCAGGAGGTACCCCATAAGTCACGAGGCCTGGAATGCAAATGTCTTGAACTTTGGAAGAGAACAAAGATTTGAGAGGACTTGAAAGAGAACAGAACAACCAGACTACTGAAAAGAAGAAAAATGGATTTTGGCCTATAAATGCAGGGGACCCCTGACAGCATGCACGCTTCCTGATCTGCAGCAATGGAGCGTCCACACCTTCTCGGAAAAGACTGATCATCTTCACCGGAGGAGGCCTGGGTGTGCGTGAGTATGTGTGAACGTGTGCGTGCATGAGAGCTCTCCTTGATGTGATTCTGATATGATTCTGTGATTATTGTATTTCAATAAATGTTCCATGAATAGTGTCAAAACCAAATTTGGTCTCCAAAGTGTCTCATTGATCTAAACTACCTTATTATTCCTTGAACACTCTGCAAGAGGACAGGAACCTTTGAGTTCATAACAAATCTCCTTTCTTGTAGTTTGAAGCCATTGTTCTGCGTCCTGGTCTCCAGGGCAGCAGAAAGGAAGCTTGCTCCCTCCTCCCGATGACTTCCTCTCACATGGCCCTCATCATGTCTCCTCTCAGCCGTCTTTTCTTCAGGCTAAACATGCCGAGCTCTTTCAGTTGCTCCTCATAGGGATCTCACTGCATAGAACCATGGCAGTTCAATTGCCACCAAAATGCGATAAGCCCGCGGTAAAGACGCCCCCTGAGATGTCAAGAGGAGGCAAGTGGAAGAGGGAAGCACACATTGGGTCCCCAAATCCAGATCCAGATCTTCTAATCTGAGGACACGCTCTGCTTGAGCCTCTACAGATCACACAGAGTGAATCGTTTGGGAGATAATCAGAACATCAACTGCTCTGGTTAATCTTTCTTTTAAAGGTGGGCAGAGGATGAAAACCTGGAAATGGAGGAGAAGACGGTAGTTAAGGGCAGGTGCATTCATAAAGTATTCTTGATGGCTTTGACACAAAAATGGTATACAGCCATGCACTTGTCCCTATGGAAGAAACACTCCTGGCTGGGCGGTAGTTACTTGAAACCAAGGCTGCAACAGAACACCATGAAGTTGTTACGCAGCGCGTGTTTTATTCCAGCGTCCTAACACCCAAAAACCCAGATGAAAAATAGTCTCAGACCAATAGTCAAGGTAAACAGAAAATGTTTACTCTCTTGACTTTGCAGAGATGAAAGAAATCTGGCAATGCTGCACGCAAAAATCAGCAGTGCTACGTATTTACGCAGTCTTTGTAATAAACATAAAACAAAGCATCTTCTAAGCAGCAAATGGGAAATCAAAACAACCTGAAGTAAATAGCTATTTCACCATCAGCATCTCCTGCTGGTACTGAGAGGAAGCCACAGGGAGGAGGGAGCAAGCTTCCTTTCTGCTTCCCTGGAGACTAGGACGCAATGGAACAATGGCTTCAAACTACAAGAGAGGAGATTCCATCTGAACATGAGGAAGAACTTCCTGACTGTGAGAGCCGTTCAGCAGTGGAACTCTCTGCCCCGGAGTGTGGTGGAGGCTCCTTCTTTGGAAGCTTTTAAACAGAGGCTGGATGGCCATCTGTCAGGGGTGATTTGAATGCAATATTCCTGCTTCTTGGCAGAATGGGGTTGGACTGGATGGCCCATGAGGTCTCTTCCAACTCTTTGATTCTATGATTCTATGATTCCACACTGTGGAAACAGAACTCCAGAAGCAGCCCACCAGAAATCCACCACACACCACACTGTGAGTTTTTTTTAATACTTACTTGGTCAATGAGGGATCACCTAAGTAAAGTAAGTAACTAAAGCTCAACAGCAAGCTAGACTATTAATGGTTGGGAGCTCACTCTGACCTGGGCTGTCTTCAAACTAATGACCTCTTGGTCAGTAGTGACTTAATGCACCTGGCTACTAAGTAGTTGTGCCACACCCCATGGTCATTCTCCATTTTGGCCCCTTCTCTTCCTGCCTTTGTCTTCCATTGCCTTTCTCCGGGCAAGATGTAGCTGCATGGATACTATTGTGGTATTTTTCTCCTTTTACCTTTCTTAGCAGATAGCTTAGTAAGCTTTTATCTCCAAGACCTTTTTCTATCCAGAATGGATTTCTTTTGACTTCAATAAACACATAGTTTTGGAACCTAAAGTTGTGACTCCTGTGCCATCCTGTTGAATGGAAACTAATCCTGGTCCATTACACGTGAATTTCTGCTGGTTCTGAAATGTGCTTCTGGCACTCTGCTGTATTTTTGTGGAACCACCTCCAGTGAAGGTTATTTTGAGCCTCACAGCTCTGATTCCTATCAGTGTCCAACTTCATGGAACGAGGGGGTAGGACCGGATGGCCTTTGGAGTGCCTTCCAGCTCCAGGACTCGAACTCTTCCACATACTCAGCGCCCGTGATCTCTATCTCTCTCTTGCTGTCTTCTTGCTTTGGGAATTGGCCCGTTTCCCAGTGTGGTCCTCCCACATGAGGCTCCCTGGAGATAAAAGCAGATCTCTGGCAAAGGAAAGCGGCTGGAGCAATGAAGCTTTTCCCTTTGGCAGTTCTCTTTCTCCTCCTTGGAGGGAACGAAAGCAAGGTTATCTCGCCCTGCTATTTGGCCCAAATGCTGCATGAAGCCAAGGTGGATGGATTCGGGGGCGTCTCCTTGGCTGATTGTGAGTGCCTTCTTTCTAAGTTGGGTTCCTTCCTTGAAACCTGAGTACAGAATTCGCCCCTTCTTCCCTTAAATGTTAACGTTGGTGTACCTCTTGCTCCCTCCAAAGGTGCATCTATACTGTAGAGTTAATGCAGTTCAATCCCACTTGGCGTGATCCTTAGCCCTCTCTTCCAAAGCGTGTGGGAGACTCACCAAACTACAACTCCCATGATCCCATGGCTTTGAGGTGCACCAGCAGGCTAGGTCTGGGGGGCAGGGAGGAGGGGGTCGCAGTAGTCTTTCGGCAGTCCATCACCGTGGTCAGATGCGCTGTTCCGCAATCTTCTGGGTTTGAGTGCGTTCACCTGAGGGTGGGGAACCGTGATAGCTTGGGGATTCTGCTGGTGTACCGTCCACCCCGCGACTCAGTGCTTTCCCTGCCTGAGCTAGCAGATGTGGTCTCCAATTCGGCCCTGGTCTCTAACATCCATGCAGAGACCTCGTTAACAGGAGCAGCTCAGGACTTCATGGTCACCATGATGACCATGAGGCTATCACAAGTCATATCTGGACCCACCCATCAGGCTGGACACACACGACCTAGTTTTTGTTGCGGACAGCGGAATGGTCAGAGTGGAAGAACAAAATATCCTTCCATTCTCATGGTCTGACAATCATCTGATCAGTTTTAGACTTGCTGTGACCTCTAACCTTCTCAGGGGTGGAGGACCAACTAAGATGGTCTGCCCCAGGAGACTGATGGATCTGGATGGTTTTCTGAGGAATCTTGGGGCTCTTCCTGTCTTGGAGCCTGTCGACACCCTGGTTGACCGCTATAATAGCAAGATGTCCAGGGTGATAGACACGATTGCTCCCAAACGTCCCATCTCGTTGCGTTGAGACACACCATCTCCTGTGATGAAACGTACGAGAAGGAGGCTAGAGTGCAAATGGAGGAAATCCCCAGACGCCTCTCTTGAACCCTTGTCCAATCCAACCCATCAGACCCAGAGTCTGATATCCCATCATCCATATCATTTGCATCAAAATCTTCAAAAGAATCCTCATCTGTTGGCTCACTAAGTATCTCCCGGATTCTTTTCCTCTGTTGCTCTTCCTCATAGTCTTGCTCGCGAGTAGTTTTCCTTCCTCTCCTAATATAACTAGTGTTACTATCACTGCCAGCAGACTCTATCACAACTGGGATAGAGCATGTAGACAATCCTAGATCATTAAAAAATGCAGTAGGGACGTATTGCTGGGAGTTTCCTTATTCTGGGAAGGCACACTGGAATAACCACATTTTCAGGCTTCTCCTAAAGACTGCCAGCGTTGGGGCATGTCTGATGTCCCTGGGGAGTGAGTTCCAGAGTGGAGGGACCACCACCGAGAAGGCTCTGTCCCTCGTCCCCACCAGTCGCGCTTGTGATGGGGGCGGGATCGCAAGCAGGGCCTCTCCAGATGATTGAATTTTGTATTAATGTTATGTTTATTGATTTGTGATGCTATTGTTTTAAAGGCCTATTGTCTGTACAATGTATACTGTTGAATTGTTGTTAACCGCTCCAAGTCGCCTAAGGGCTGAGAGGAGCGGTATACAAATGAAGTAAATAAATAAATAAATAAATTGAAGAGATCGTGTGGGTTCATACACAGTGATGCAGTCACGCAGGTAGGCGGGTCCCAAACTGTTCAGGGCTTTGTAGGTAAGCACCTGCACCTTGAACTGGGTCCGGAAAATGAATGGCAATCAGTGGGGCTCCTTGAACAGGAGGGTTGACCGCTCCCTCTAAGGAGCACCAGTTAACAACCTGGCCACCGCTCGTTGGACCATCTGGAATTTCCGAGCCGTTTTCAAGGGCAGCCCCACGAAGAGTGCATTACAGTAATTCAGTCTAGAGGTGACTAAGGCATGGACCACCCTGGCCAGACCAGCCTTTACGAGGTACGGTTGCAGTTGGCGCACAAGTCAATTGTGCAAAGGCCCTCCCAGCCACTGCCGACGCTTGAGCCTCAAGTGTAAGTGAAGAATCCAGGAGGACCCCCAAAGTGCGGACCTGTGACTTCAGGGGGAGTGCAACCCCGTCCAGCACAGGTTGCCACCCTATACCCCGATCCAGTTTACGATTGGCCAGGAGGACTTCTGTCTTGTCAGGATTAATCTTCAGCTTGTTCTCTCTTCTACTCTCTCCTCCTCCCAAACCTTAATTCTACAGTGTTGATGCAGCCTAACACAACCATAGAGAGGATAAGGAGAGACCCGAAAGCATCTCTCTATTCCTTCTAGCACAAGGCTGGGCAAAGGCATGATGTCCCTGCCAAAAGAGTGGTTTTGAGAAGGTCTCCAATAAAGAAATGTACTAAATCAGGGTGTAAAGGGGGTTAAGAGATCAGGGTCTCTTATTGCTCCTGTGTGACAGGAATATGCAAGGGTGTTACACACAGGCGATGAGAGAGGAAGGTGTGTGTATATGGTAGGTATGCTGCCACCACCCCAAATCACTGCTTGAGGAATTATCTAGTAGTTGTAGCTGAGGTAAAAAGTCCTTATACACCGGTTCCTCTTTTTTGGCTCCCTTTCTCTTGTGACTGGACTGCAGAGATGTAGAGGCTTACTGTATCTGGCTTTATATGACAAAACAAGGCTGAGGCAGATTAAAAGTAAACTAGAGAACAGGTTTATTGAAATGTTTGAAACAGACAACTCATTACTGAGTGGTACCTATTAGGGCTGGGCAACCACGGAAAAATTCGTTTCTAAACTCGATTCGTTTTTAGGGGGTTTTTGCGTTTCGATTTTTAAAAGAATTCCAAAATTTTTCTTTAAAAAAGTTCGACATTTACGAATTTTCGGAAATTACGAAACAATTCGAAACAATAACGAATCGATTCGTTAATGGCGGACGCGACCGCGCAATACACTAAAAAAACCTCCAAATGGGACAGGGGGAACTTCTGAAGCTTCCCTCTCCCTCTGTTGTTGACTGTTGGTGTGATAATTATATATTTTTTTCACTGATAAAACAAACAACAACTATAAAACTTGCACCAGACATGCGGAAATAATAACGAAACGATTTCGAAAATTTCGAAACAATTACGAAACAATTACGAAACGAATTGAAAAATTCGTTTCGATTTTTAGTTGCTCCTGAATGGTTCAATATCGCTTCGTTATAAAAAAATAACGAATTAATAATGAATTACGAAATTAACGAACGAAACCGCCCAGCCCTAGTACCTATGCATAGTTGGTTTCTGAGGCACAGACTTATAAAATAAATGGTTGCTTAAGAAAGAGTAACATTTTTATTTGACGTGAGTTACTTTCCTCACACTATTCTATAACAAGTAACAGTGTGCTTCTCAGACCAGCCGCCCTGGCTGCCTGCGAGAGTAACTAGGTTCCTTCTAGACTACTCTGCACTACAGGGAAATAAACCCACTTGTATTCTCTCCAAATACAAGTCAACAAGCCTTCTCTTTGACTGTCAAAGCCAAAGTACCCTGAAGCACTTGCCCTCTATTATTCCTTCCCAGTCTAATTCTAACTCACTCAGAAACTCTCTTCTCCCTGCCTGAAAATCCTAATCCTATCTCTTTCAGATCAAATCCCTCTTCTCTCTTTCAGATCAAAACCCTCTCTCTCCTAGATCAAATCATTCTTCTTCCCCCTCTGACAGAAAGTGTAGCCTTTTTACACACTCCTTCAACTCCTCCCCTAGGGATCTGAGCCAATCAGGAGTTAGCTGACTCCTCCCCTTGCCTCTCTGCCCTTCCCAACATGTCAGATATCCTGAGCACCCTCCCAACATGGAGGCCTGCTCACTGATTCCTAGGCTGCGGCCTATGAAGCAAAGGTATGATTTCACTGCACAGGGCATACCTGGCTCTCTTCTTGGATGGGGAGTGCTTTTGCACTTTTTGGGTGCTCTCTGCAAGATGTTGTGGTTGGAAAACACCCATAGAGGATGCTTTTAGAGATTGCTCCATCCTCGGCATAAGGTATGAACTTTCTTCCTTTCTTCCAGGGATCTGTTTTGCTACTCATGGCAGTAAGCTGAATAGCGGAGGCCTCATTACATATATAGGAGGCTACAGGAATTATGGGATTTTCCAGCTGACCAACACAGAACATTGCCATGATACTGCCAAAGACTCAGAGAATATCTGCAAGACCTGCTGCGTTTGTAAGTGACTTGCTTACTGCAAGAATCTCTGGGGCACCGAATAACCTAGGGTTGAAAGGGGCACACAAAGGCCATGCAGACCAACCCTCTTGTGTTGTGCAGGAAGAGACAATCAAAGGTCTCCTGACAGATGGACACACTTGGCGTGATCCTTAGCCCTCTCTTCCAAAGCGTGTGGGAGACTCACCAAACTACAACTCCCATGATCCCATGGCTTTGAGGTGCACCAGCAGGCTAGGTCTGGGGGGCAGGGAGGAGGGGGTCACAGTAGTCTTTCGGCAGTCCATCACCGTGGTCAGATGTGCTGTTCCGCAATCTTCTGGGTTTGAGTGCGTTCACCTGAGGGTGGGGAACCGTGATAGCTTGGGGATTCTGCTGGTGTACCGTCCACCCCGCGACTCAGTGCTTTCCCTGCCTGAGCTAGCAGATGTGGTCTCCAATTCGGCCCTGGTCTCTAACATCCATGCAGAGACCTCGTTAACAGGAGCAGCTCAGGACTTCATGGTCACCATGATGACCATGAGGCTATCACAAGTCATATCTGGACCCACCCATCAGGCTGGACACACACGACCTAGTTTTTGAACTGCTGCTTGCATGTCCATCAACCTTATAGGGCTCCAAAAAGAGATAAATAGGTCTGTATGTATGCAACTACCAAAAGGAAGTATACAGATAGAAGGGATTCGCTCCTGGCCTCTAGGTAGATATGCAGGTTGTGCTCAGGTGCAACCACAAGAAGGTAGTATATGGATATGCCATCGGGGTTTGGGACCCCGGGAGGGTTGTGAGGGGTATCAGAGGGGTCGCAGAATAAAACAGTCTCTTCTGTTGGTCATGGGGGTTCTGTGTGGGAAGTTTGGCCCAATTATGTCATTGGTGGGGTTCTGAATGCTCTTTCCTGGTAGGTGAACTATAAATCCCAGCAACTACAACTCCTAAATGTCAAGGTCTATTTTCCCCAAAATCCGCCAGTGTTCACAATTGGGCATAGTGAGTATCCGTGCCAGTTTGGTCCAGATCCGTCATTGTTTGAGTCCACAGTGCTCTCTGGAAGTGGGTGAACTACAATTCCCAAACTGAAGGTCAATGTCCACCAAACCCTTCTGTTGGTCATGGGAGTTCTGTGTGCCAAGTTTGGTTCAATTCCATTGTTGGTGGAGTTCAGAATGCTCTTTGATTGTAGGTGAACTATTAATCCCAGCAACTACAGCTCCCAAATGACAAAATCAATGCCCCCTTGAACCCCACCAGTATTCACATATGGGAGTATTGGGTATTTGTGCCAAATTTGGTCCAGTGAATGATAATATATTCTGCATTTCGGTTATTTACAAGATGATTCATAACAGTAGTACGATTACAGTTATGAAGTAGCACCAAAAATAATGTTATGGTTGGGGGTCACCACAGCATGAGGAACTGTATTAAGGGGTCACGGCATTAGGAAGGTTGAGAAACACTCTAGGAGGACGAGACTGGTGCCATTTAATGCGTACCAGGCAAGCATGGAAGATAGCTGGAGAAAGAAGTCCTTACAATGACGAAACCCAGGTCTTCACAGAAACCTGTTCTCAGAAAATGCATGCCTGGGCAACGCCGCTTACACATGCTAATATGTATATATATATATATTGACAGATTTCCTCAACGAAGACCTATCAGATGATATTGAATGTCTTAAGAGACACATCATGGTCCATGGAGGGCTGAAATCTTGGTGAGTCTACCGATTTTGAATTGGAATCCGGGTTTTTTGTTGGGATCTTTTGTAAAGTCAACACTAAGGGATCTTCTCTCTGAAGAATGGGAGCTGTAGTTTTACAAGACCCTTAGTTTTCTCTGCCAAAGCCGTCCCTCCCAAACTACAATGCCCAAGGCTGCATAGCATTGAGCTATGGCAGTGGAAGTGTGGCCAAATTGCGTTCGTTCTCCTGTGTGGGTGACCAAAATCCCCAATAACCACCAGAGAAATGACATTTGCCTTCTTCTTTCAGGTCAGCTTGGAGAGACCACTGTAGAGACAAAAATGTTCATCACTACATTGAGGATTGTGGGCTCGATATCAAGGAACCATGATCTAAAATTGTGGAAATGTTCCTTTTCCCTTGTTCAGTTGGATTTGACATTTGTGGATCAGATTATCTGCAGATTCAGTATATAAACGTCCTCTCTCTGGAAGTCTCTGGGTCCAGCAGTGTGATTCCATGGTCAACAGTCATGACGGACTCCTAGGACCCATCCACACTGCCATATCATCCTGGGAGAGGGTCCAGCATTATCCATAGGCAGGGGGACATCGTAAACTTGATCATCCATTCCGTTTGAAATACTCCCAGTAGGCCCTTTATTTCAGACACGCCAACCAGCCAAATCTAACAGAGCTCCCTGTTCTTCTTCCACTGCCCCTCTTAGGTCTCTTCCTTCATGTCCCCTCACTCCTTCCAATTACTCCACATCTGTCTTGATTTGGTGTGCTTGGATAATAATAATAACAATCTATATAAATAAAAATGTTCGTGGGATTAACAGAACTCAAAAACCACTGGGGCAATTGACACCAAATTTGGACACGATATCCCTAACAACCCAATGTATGTCCTTCACTAAAAAAAACCCCAATGAAAACAAAAAAGCAGAAAGGAATTCTGCACGTCCACAAATCAGAAACTGGATGTCCACAAAGAGACCCATGGCCACGCCCCCTCTTCCTCCTTGCGGGAAACAGCCGGGCCGTTAAAGCCAGGTGCGCGTGCACAGCCACACACACAAGCGAGTGGAATGGAGGTGGAGGCTTGCAGCATGGAGCTCCTTCTCTTTCCCTGCTACAAAAGTGTTGTAGAGCAATTTAGAATGACTGTGGATTAGACCCAAGTCATTGTGGGTTGCCTGGTGAGAAAGGAGAAGCCAATATTGCAAAATAAATCTCACCAAGTTGAAGCAGAAGCCACCGAGATATTTTATTGCGATTCAGCTGGAAAGAATGCAAAGCTGCGATATTTCGTCAGGCAAACGTACAGTGAATACAAAATAAAGCCTTCTTATACAAAAAATGAGCTGTCAGATTTGAATTTCCCGCTCCTCGCTCCCCAGCCGGCTCGGCGTTGATTGGCTGGCGCTCTACAGCTGGGAGGAGGCTTTGCTGCCACCTGAGCGCCTCAGCCAATGGGTGAGTTTCTGCCGCTTTCGGCCCTCTGGCCAATCAGGAGAGAGAGAGGCGGACGAGAGGGAAACAATGAAGTCTTGAGTGGATTATGGAAACATGTGGTCCAAATGGCCGGCGAGTCCCCCAGGGGCCTTATAGCCGACCAGGTTATTGTCTTGATGGGTGAAAAATACAGAAATCATAGTGTAGGAAATATACCCACTTATCCCTCCCACCAGAGTCCCATAGAGAAATTAATGAGAGCCTTGATCATGGCTCAGTATATGTCCATAGTTCATAATATTTATGTGAGAATTCATAATAAGAAAAGAGGGAGGCGGGCCACACTCTGTGCACACACTCTGACTCTCTGTCTCCCACACACACATTCCCACAGCACAAGGGAAGGAGGAAGGTGCTATGATGGGGGTAATAGGGACACACAAAACTGAAAGGAGCTCCAAAGACCATCCAGCCCAACCTCATTTGGCAGTAAAGGATGACACCATCAAACACCTCACAACAGATGGCCAACCAGACCTAAAGGCCATCCAGTCCAACCCCCTGCTTCCCTCCCTTCCTCCCTTGATCTACTTCTCTTCTCCTTCCTTTACTTCTTTCCCTCCCTCCCTTCCCTCCTTCCTTTCCCTCCTTCCTCCCTTCCTTTCCTTTTCTCCCTCCCTCCTCCCTCCCTCCTTTCTTTCCTTCCCTTACTTTCCTTCCTCCTTTTCTTTCTTTCCTTTTTCTCCTCCCCTCACCAGCTTCATCCTCCTTTATTAAATCTACAGTGTAGATACACCCAAAGTTACCCCTTCCACACTGCCATGTAAAATCCAGATTATCTACTTAGGACTGGATTATATGGCAGTGTAGACACACATGCACACACACATATGGATGGATGTTGGATCACTGGTTGGTGTATATGTGTGTGTATATATATAATTACAATACTTTATTACTATTATATATATATTGCTATATAATACATATATATTATATTATATATATTATTGTTATATATATTACTATATAATATAATGTTACTACTAAATGTTACTATATTAAATAGACTGTCAGTGGTGCTTTGAATGCAATATTCCTGCTTCTCGGCAAGGGGTTGGGCTGGATGGCCCATGCGGTCTCTTCCAACTCTATGATTCTATGACTCATAGAATAGAGTTAGAAGGGACTCTACCATGGTATTGGGGGAGAACAGACAGGAAGGAAGGATAGAAGAAAGGAGGGAGGGAAAAAGGAAAGGAATGAAGGAGGGAAGGGGGGGCGGAGTAAGGAAAGAGAGAAGGAGGGAGGGAAAGAAGGAAGGAGGGAAGGAAAGAGCAAAGGAAGGAGAGAAGGAAGGAAAGAAAGAGGTACCGAAGGAAGGAAGAAGAGAAAGTAGAAAGGAAAGGGGAGGGAAATGCAAGAAAGAGGTAAAGAAGAAAGAAAGGAAATAGACAGTGAAAGGAGGAAGGAAACCGGGAGGGAAGAAAGGAGACAAAGGAAGAAGTAGAGAAAGGGGGAGGGAAGGAAGGAAAGAGAGAAGGAAGGATGAAACCAAAGAGCGAAAGAAGGAAGAAAGGAGAGAAAGGGGGAAGAAAAAGGGGGAAGGAATAGGTAGGTACTAGGGCTGGGCAACCACGGAAAAATTTATTTCTAAACTCGATTCGTTTTTAGGGGGGTTTTGCGTTTCGATTTTTAAAAGAATTCCGAATTTTTTCTTTAAAAAAGTTCGACATTTACGAATTTTCGGAAATTACGAAACAATTACGAAACGATTCGTTAATGGCAGACGCGACCGCGCAATACGCTAAAAAAACCTCCAAATGGGACAGGGGGAACTTCTGAAGCTTCCCTCTCCCTCTGTAGTTGACTGTTGGTGTGATAATTATATATTTTTTTACTGATAAAACAAACAACAACTATAAAACTTGCACCTGACATGCGGAAATAATAACGAAATGATTTCGAAACGATTTCGAAACAATTACTAAACGAATTGAAAAATTCGTTTCGATTTTTAGTTGCTCCTGAATGGTTCAATATCGCTTCGTTATAAAAAAAATAATGAATTAATAACGAATTACGAAATTAACAAATGAAACCGCCCAGCCCTAGTAGGTACCTCTCTTTCACAATAGTCCAGATATCTACCTCTACTTAGAAAATTCTTACTATAGGCCACAGCAACGCGAGGCAGGGCACAGCTAGTCTATATAAATAAAAATGTAATGTTTGTTTGTGGGATTAAGAGAATTCAAAAACCACTGGACGAATTGACACCAAATTTAGACACAAGACACCTAACAACCCAATGTATGTCCTTCACTCAAAACAAATTGATTTTGTCATTTGGGAGTTGTAGTTGCTGGGATTTATAGTTCACCTACAATCACAGAGCATTCTGAACTCCACTAACAATAGAATTGGGCCAAACTTCCCACACAGAACCCCCATGACCAACTCTCAAACTCTGCTTGGTGACGAGGGGTTCAAAGGACCCTTCCGATGAAAGGGCAGGGGTGGTGGCAAGGGAGGGATCTGGGGGTGAGGGGTAGCTGGAAGGGCATCCAGGATGCTCTGGGGCGCATGGAAGTAAGAGAGAGAAATTTGAGGGGCTGAGGCAGTCCTTGAGGGGGCAGAAGGGGCTTCCTGGGAAAGGGAAAAAGTGAACAGTGGGGTCAGAGTAGAGATTGGAGGGGCTGAAGCAGCTCTAGAGGGAGCAGGCGAGGGTGCAGAGGAAGATGCCAGGGAGAGGAGAAGGGATTGTGGATGGACGTGGGTGGTGGAGGGAATCCCCTAAGTTCGACCAGCAGGGGAGGGGGCAGAGGAAATGGGGGAAAGGAGGGGCTGGGAGCAGAGATGGGGAGGGGGTAGAGGGCAGGGAGAGGGTCTGGAGGGGGGGGGGTTTGAGGGGAGTGAGGTTTAGTTTCAACATCCTTACATGGCAAAATCATAGAATCATAGAATCAAAGAGTTGGAAGAGACCTCCTGGGCCATCATCCAGTCCAACCCCATTCTGCCAAGAAGCAGGAATATTGCATTCAAATCACCCCTGACAGATGGCCATCCAGCCCCTGTTTAAAAGCTTCCAAAGAAGGAGCCTCCACCACACTCCCTCCAGGGCAGAGAGTTCCACTGCTGAACGGCTCTCACAGTCAGGAAGTTCTTTCTCATGTTCAGATGGAATCTGAACATGAAAGGAGGAAGGAAACTGGGAGGGAAGAAAGGAGACAAAGGAAGAAGTAGAGCAAGGGGGAGGGAAGGAAGGAAAGAGAAAAGGAAGGATGAAACCAAAGAGCGAAAGAAGGAATGAAAGAAAGAGGTAGAGAAGGAAGAAAGGAGAGAAAGGGGAATGGGGAAGAAAAAGGGGGGAAGGAATAGGTAGGTCTTTAGTTTTTTCCTAAAAGTAAGGAGGGAGGACGCTGATCTAATCTCACTGGGGAGCGAATTCCACAAGCGGGGGTCACCACTGAGAATGCCCTGTCCCTCATCCCCACCAGACATGTTTGAGACGCTGGTGGGACCGAGAGGAGGGCCTCCCCAGTAGATCTTAAATTACGAGGTGGAATGTAGAGAGAGATACGTTCGGATAAGTAAGCTGGGCTGGAGCCATATAGGGTTTTATAGGTCAAGACCAGCACTTTGAATTGTGCTCAGAGGTGGACCGGCAGCCAGTGGAGCTGGCGCAGCAGAGGGGTGGTATGCTCCCTGTATGGTGCTCCGGTAAATAATCTGGCTGCTACCCACTGGACTAGTTGAAGTCTCCGAGAAGTCTTCAAAGGCAACCCACGTAGAGTGCATTGCAGTAATCTATTCAGGATGTAACCAGAGCGTGGACCACAGTGGCCAAGTCAGACTTCCCAAGGTACGGGCACAACTGGCGCACAAGCTTTAACTGTGCAAAAGCTCCCCTGGCCACCACCAAGACCTGGGCTTCCAGGCTCAGCAATGAATCCAGGATCACTCCCAAGCTGGGAACCTGCGTCTTAAGGGGGAGTGTAACCCCATCCAACACAGGCTGTAACCCTATGCC